TACTAGTTCAGAACGACTAGTCTTTGTGTGATAGATTTTGCGTTGATTTAATAGTCTGACTACTGAAAACGTTGACAATATTATTATTATTCCTCTTTTGCATTTCAAGTGGGACACAGGGCTTTGCCGGAACACCTCCATTCTACTTGGTCATCTGGCATTACTTCCAACTAGCTCCACGATTGCCTACAAGCTTCTATCTCCTCCCCTTCGCATAATCTTTTCAACTCATCGCTTCCCATTCGGCTTCCACCCAATACCCTGTTTTGCGATATCATTCAATGGTCTCCTGAATGCATGTCTAGTCCATTTTCATTTCCTTTGGTTACTTTTTAGATTGGCAGGTTCTTGGCTAGTCTTATGACAGAGACCCTAGTTACTTATTCTTTCCAGCTGGCCATCTGATCTTCAGTATGCAGCGAAGTCAGCAGTTAGTAAAATATTTCTCCCAGCCTCTTAGAAATACCTTTTGTGACGCTCTAACACTGAATTACTTTACATACATATAGGATGAATAAAACTCAGTCAGTAAACATAAATCTTTTCAGTTTTTCAAACATGGAATTTGATTTTTGTTGCTTATTTTTGTTTTAAACGTTTAAACAGACTTTTTCATTTTTAAATTTACGTTACCAAAAGATTATTAATATCATCATTAAATGCAATAATCATGTTTCGATTAAAGCCTGATGAAAATAAAATAAATTCAAATCTGATAAAAACATGTTCAGAATTTGTTATGAAATCGAAACAGTCTAGAGAGTTGGCCTGAATGGAGACCAGATAGAGTCGCTGAACATATCTATTTCATATAAAGTTTTGAAAATATCTGTCTTCAATCCGCATGACACTTTATAGTGGTGTGGAATGTGTATGAATATCTCGCCAATTCATCAGATTTTATGAAGTCTATTATCTGTCACAATGGCAGTATGCTCACGTTTAAATTAGAAGGTTATGAATTATTTCGCTCTTACAGTCATACATAAACACTGCATTGCAGTTGTGAGTAAAGATGCGAAACAGATTTCCAGAGTTCTCTTTTTCTGTGCTTTTCAACGCCTATGTATATCATGTGTATTTTATATGGTTATTTATTTATTTATTCATCCGTGGGATCCCCAATGTAACATAGGTTTCAGACGGGGAAATCTTCAATTCACCCTATCCTCTGCGGTTTGTTTTATTTCCCTCCATAATCGCCCTTAAGCCTTCATTTCCCCCACAACATCATCTCCTGCATGTCACCTATGTTGCCACGCCCAGTTGGTCACCTCCTGTTTAGTATCTAATCGAAGGCCTGTCTGATGATATAATAAATTGTGCTGGAAGCGTCACTAGAAAATATTACTGTAGAACACTGAAACTTTGTCGAATAAGCTTTCTGCATAATGATATTATATCCTACCACAGTGACCAAGTTCTCCTCTTATATCTAAGATAGTGACCCATTTAGATTTCTGCAACTGATGGTGACTGGTGTTTGTGGTTAGTGGGTTACATACCACCATCATCCCTTTGTTTCCCGTGTCCACCTGAAGTCCTGTCTTTGCTGCACATCTCTTCTGATAACTTTTAAATTTTCAAGTTTCTACGACATAACACACATACACATCATCTGCGAAATTTAGATCTTCCGGGATACCTATCTTCACGGGATAAAATTCATCGTCAATGCAATAAAACTGCTGTAAGAATAAAACCTTCTGTTCGCAAATGAGAGGACTTTGTCAAAACGCACACTTTCACTTGTGAATAATTATTTTTCCTCCCCATGAACTTGTAGGATGAAATTAATGATGGCTTAAACAAGACGAAACAAGAATCTGAGTCACAGCAGGATTGCAGTCAGTGATATCTAACAGCTGAGTAACATTCAGACGAATAGTCGTTACATAGGATTTCTTATATAGCTGGTTTAGTCAATACAGTCTATAAGTTAGCAAAATATATTTTATTGGTTGATGTTAGCTGCTAGCACTCGAATTCTCATCCACTTGCTTTTCATCCCTTTTGAAACTTATCATCTGACGGTACATCCACGCCCGTCCACTGAGTAAGCGATGATGCCTTCACTGAAACTCGAATCTTCTGCATGTACCATTTCAAACGCCATGGTTTTATGGCTACGAGAGCCATGTCTTTTACAAGTTCTTTACTCGACTTGTGTGTTTTGGCTCTCAGCTTCCTTTTTATAAACTTCTGAATGCTACAAAACATACTAAGTCACAATTTTTATGTGATTGTGTTCTATGATCTGAGTTGCGGTTTAATTGTGAGGCAGCTTTCACGGTTCTCTTTCTAGACAACATTACTAGACAGCATACTTTACTAAGAAGTAAGCTTGGTTTTTGAATTCTTCGTGAACGATATAACTATCTTTGATTGGACACTAGGCAGCAACTACTGTCATATGTCCGGTCCTTTGTTTTTTTTGACCGAGAGTGAATTCCACTAGTCAAGTTTGCAATGTGGCCACCATTTCAAGTGGTTCGATATCACAGTTCATTCTGAATTGTAGTTATTAGATGGTTGTAGACAATCACCAGGAAGCTCTAAATGTAGGTTTCGTGCTTTTCAGGAAGGTGTATTTGCACACTTGAGGGACTTCATGTTCTTTGCTGTGATTGGCTATTAATTTGTGTGAATATCAGTTGTTTCGTTAACTTAGAATTTGACCTTTTTCGTGTCATAAGACAGGCTTTATTACTCCATAAATATATTCACAATTAAATAAATCCCGTTGTGAAATTAGGCAGAAAATATTCAACGGTGAGATTCTTCTGAACGAATTTATTATTATTTATCAAACTGTATAACCGTATACATATTATCCTTTTTAGAGAAACTTGAAATTATTCTATGTGAATGCTTCTCATAATAACAATAATAATAATGAATAATGTGAAACGCGATTGAATGTTTGCGATTCTAATCATAGTTTGCGAAACTCAGCGAGGCGTTAGAAGTGCATGAAGACAGGAGTAAGACAAGCTGGCTACCTATTATCACTCACAATGATATTCCTAATTGTGGTGGACTGGATTAAGTGAAAGACAGTGCATGGGAGTCAGAAGACAGGAATACGTTGCACTGACCGATAAGAAGACTCGAGAAGATCTGGATTTCGCCCATGGATGATATATGTCGAATGTCACACAAACTCGAAGACTTACAGGTGAAAAGCAACAAACTGACTGAAGAGACAGGCAGCGAAGACACGACCCCAAGTAAACATAGAGAAGACGGAGGTGATGAAGACAACCAAAAAACAACACCAACAACAACCAGCACCAACTGCCATCAACGTGAGAAACTTGACAGAGGTCACTTCACCAACTTATCTAGGAAGCATAGTTTCGATCATAGCCAGCGGAACGGATGAAGATGTCAAAGCCAGCCAGTCAGTCAACCAGAATCGGAAAGGCAACATACACCTCCACAAGTCTGAAATCATTTTGCAAATCTTCTGCACTCACTCAGAATAAACGGCAAGATTCGGATTTTCAACACCAATTTCACGTCAGTCAGTTCTTCCATGTGTCTCAGAAACTTGGTCAGCGTGTCACGAAAAGTATTTCCAACGGGATACTACAGTCTTTTATCAACAGCTCTCTTCTCTGACTGCATACTGATGATCAGATGGCCAGCCAGGAAGAGTTAGCAACAAGTAACTCTGGCTGACTGGGAACAAACCAACGAAGAGCGGATTGCTCAACAAATATATGTGAGAAAATGGAGATGGACTGAGAATACATTGAGGAGGCCGTCGAATGACATCGTGCTAAATGCAGGCCATCGCTCGAGTGGGATTCGAATGGGAAGTGACGAGTGGGTCGTTGATGCAAATGTGACATGGAGGAGATCGTATGAAGAGTAGGAGGAGGAGACTAGAGTTTATGGACAGTCGTGAACCCAGCTTAAGAGGACAGGACAAAATAGAACGAAGTAGACATGTGTTGTTGAAGCCCTATGTTCCACTCGGAACCCAAGGGAATAATAATAATAGTAATCACAGTTCAGTAACAAGCAACAATAAAATAGGTTGTGTGATACACAAATTAGTTCACAGAGTTTACAGATCTTGTAAAGGGTTGTAAAATTAACAGGATTAGAAAGCAATCAAAACATGATGAAAAACGGCGAGAACTTTGATAAGAAAGAATTAAACATTGCGAAATATACATGTACTGAATTCAAATAATAAATAGGGATAAGTGAAATTAGACCAAAAGCTGTTCTGAGTGAAAGACAATACTGATATAAATATAAAACTTGGGCACTGTGGTAGAGCATAACTCCATAATGGTTAAGATTTTATTTTAATAAATCAAACAGTGTTACACAGTAATATTAACTGATGGCGTTTCGAGCACAAATTATTGCTCATTATCATATCAAGTTACTTACACAACTTTTTCCTTCATTTATATATATGTATGGAATTCACAATACTACTACTAATAGTAACAGTTGTAATAATAAAAGAAAGGTACATAGATTAAATAAACAAACAAAAAATAAATAAGTGTTCATTCCACTCCGACTAAGGTAGAAACAGGCATTGTACATTTAGACATTTTTTAGACACAAAAGTTTGTCTTGAATTTATTTTATTTATTTATTTATTTTTGTTTTGATTTACAGCTTGATTCCACACCGTATTTTCAGTACAAGTGTGGAATTTTCAGCATGGATATCGGTAGCCCAAATTCAGGCCGACCATAGATATCGGGTGTGCGCCGGCAGGGGATCGAACCTCGGACCATGTGCATGGTCGGCGAGAGTCCTAACCACTGTGCCACCGACGCACATGAATGGCCGAGGCGTTCACTGTCTTTAGAAATTTTCAATTCTTATTGTCTGTTGTTAGGTGGAGATTGATTTTAGTAGCTACCAGTTCTCTGAATGGATTTATTAGCCAAAAAAATAATTCTTTTTCATTGTTCTTATTGTTCTAATTTTTTAAAGTTTGATTTGATTTCACTTAATCTTTTTAGAGTTTGAAAATTGGTACCAACAGTGTTTTAATGAGTCAGTCAATCAATGCGATCTTGAGGTGGGTATTCCAACGAGGACGGATGATGCATCGCATGCAAACACTATAACAAATAACAATAGTAGCAACATGAAGAAGGCATTAATAGACGTCAGCTACAATGAAAAAGAGAAACCATGCATCAGTACACAAAACTCTGAAAAAGATTATCTAGATGAATTCCAACAAATTGAAGAGAACAATTTATCAGGTCGTAAAGGATTGTTATCGTATGAACGCGCTAAAGAGACGGTTGCTTACAAAGTAAGTTGAATATATATATATATATATATATATATTATATGCATGTTGACTCCCAGCTAGACTGTACTAAGATGAATAGCTTTCTACCAGGAGTTAACAAATGGTCTTCGTCTAATGGCTTTAAACTAAATCCTTCCAAATGTCAGGCTCTTAATTTTAGTTTCCGGCATAAAAGAAAGTTAGACGAAGCTGGTAGTTTCCATAATCGTTGTAAAATAGATTATACTGATATAGAAACCAAGTACGACGTTAAGTATCTTGGACTTATTCTTTCTTCTGACCTATCCTGGTCTATCCACATCTTAGTGATTTCTAGAAAAATATTCCGTCTGACTTTTTACATTAAGAAGTTATGGCACTCGGGCATAACTCAACCCCTCCTCTTCTTATAGTTTGTTAACTCTTGCATCTTACCTATTCTTCTTTATTGTTCACCCTTATTCTTTCCTTGGTCGCTTAAATAAATATCATATTTTGCTCTGTAGAACTCTGAAGACTGTCAGTAGGGCGCGTGATATCCCATTGCGTTGTATTGTTGACATCGTCACTGATAGGCACTTGATTTCATGCAACAAATTTGCTAAAGGGATTTCGTCCACTTCACTCATAGCTTTCATCCCGTTTCTCCTCAGGTAAAACAAAAAGTCATTTCAAAAGACATTATGAGCGCACGCGTAAGTATAAAAATTCCACGATACCAAATTTGGTACGTATTTTATGTGATGAAAATAGTGTTAGGTATGAACTGATTAACCTTCTTCCCATCCCTATAACAGGTTTTATTGTTATTATCCCGCTTATATTTTTAATCCTTTTATAAACACCATTTAAGTTCTGTAATAATTGTTATTACTTTTTTCGTTCCTGCGCCGCACCATGCTATTTCAAGAGAACATTAGACTCAATTCTCTAAAACATGCTAAGACTCCCATACTGTATCTATAATATTGTTTGAAACACACCTCATGTTATTGTTATTACTATTATCATAATTATTATTTTCATTTTATACCTTGCACATTTTGGCATTATTCCTACAGTAAATATGGAAAATATCCTGTGGTTAATTTTATTTATGTTTTGAGTAAGTCCGATGCAGTATTGTGACAAATGCTGAAAATTACATGCTATAATCTAAGCAAGACTTTTGGAATAAAGCATTATATATATACATATATATTCATTGTTATCCCTTTAGGTTCCGAGTGGAATACGGGTCAAGGGTTTATAAAAAGCAGTCATACATACATACACTGTTCTCTTTCCCTTTACATCCCCTCTTCCACCTATATTTACAACTTGGCTATGAGGTCAACTGTAACTATTTATTCATCTTTGCCTACCCAGCTCAGTTACAACATTTCTCACTCTTGCCTTATTCAAATTTATTAATAGGAAGAATTGTATGCAATTCAAACATTAAATCAACAAACTGAAAATTATTGGTATTAGATGGTTGGAGGCAGTCGGCAGGAAGCCTTGGACCTAGGTTTCGTGCTAGTTGGCACTCATCAGCAAGGCGTATCTGCAACCTTGAAGGAACTGATGTCCCTTCTGAGATTCGAACCCGCGTCACCGTAATGGCGAGCCACCTAGCATGGTGGCCACATTGCAAACATGACTGACAGAATTCAGTCTGCACCGAAGATAGGACTAGACACAGGACACTAGTTACTGACTAGTGTGCAATCAAAAAAATAAAAACTGAAAATTATGTTATGATAACATTTTCAAAAACCCAAAATTATACTGACTTAAATAAACAAAGGCTGACAATTTACATAATTCTGGAAATTGTTCAAAATGAAATTAACAATAACAATCGAAATAATAAGGCAAAGCTATACAAATTGAATAAATTAAACGTACAATAAGTAGGGTCAAAGTGCGAAATCGGGATTATAACAGTTTAATCGCATAGACGGATTTTGACTGTGATTTTTTAAACACCCTAATGTGAATTTTCCATGACATTATTTGTCTTATCATCGGATACTGAACGATGATTGGAACCACAAACTCTTTTAATAACTCCACTGATTATCTCTGTGGGACATTATATATATATATATATGCGGCAGAAATGAGTAGATAAATTCAATGTGTAAGTGTGATCATCACGAAGGGACAACAGTCCGAGAATCATCGGGTCATTCCAACCCAGAAGGTCGAACATACAATGGACTAACCTCGTGGTCTTAAAGTTCTGAGTGACGTTAAGGCTGTGCATTGCTGAAAAGTCTTAAGAAAACGAGGATGAAACCGTTGTCCAGTGTACCCCCTGGCAATTTCCAGTGACTGTGTCTCTCCAACTGATGACAGTTGCGGGCGAAGATTCCATTTGAAATTAATCGAAGTCTTCAAGTTTGGGAGGATTTCAAAGGTTTCAAGATTGATGACGAAATCACTTCACAGTTAGGTGAATCATTGAGAACCACGAGGGAATACTGGAAATCTTAGTTTGCTACTATTTAGCAGTATTCACTCATGATCCCACGACCAGGGATTCGACCCAGGAGCTTCAGTCTACGAGGCGTACTTGTTGAGCATTCGCACTTTCGGATGGGATCCAACGGTTCATCAATTCCCGCTTTCTATAAGTCGCATCACAGATTTAGAGAGATAATTCCAAACAAACAGTGCTCGACGCACTGCTGTATCTTGTGGGTACGGTAGTAAGCCCAGTAGAGAGCGAAGGTTGAATTTTAAGCCAACCTTTGCTCCCAATGAGAAACACCACTGCTGCTGAAACTTAAATGATTAATCTTCAAACACGAAGTTACAATGGGAACGGCAAGAGATGAAATAAGATATCGCGAAGTTATTATTGCATTTATATTATTATTATTATTTGTGTTGACCGTATTGATAAGTTTCAACCTACACTTTCTTTAAAATTTGTTTTTTTTTCTCATGTCTTTGCATCTCTTTTCTTTTAGCAAATTTATCAAAGAAAAGAACAATCGCATGCTCAGAAATTCTATCGTACATATAAATTCCGATCAATACTACAGCCGACTACAACCAGATTCATCAATGAGTCAATATTAAAACAAGGAAAATATTGTAACGCGATTTTAACCTCTTGACTTATTCTTACTTTTTCGAATTGAACACCCTGAACAAAAACATTTCTGGACAAGTTGTGCTGATGTCGATTAATTGTGCAGTGTGAAACAACTAGCCCATATTCGAATATTCACTATCGGAAGCATATTGATGTTAAACAGATACTGATGATAACCAACCATACAACAGCTAACGCAAAAATTAAGGAGTGAACGAGTGATTTATATCATTTTGGATTATATTAACCTCCTGACATCATTATATTGTAATTAGGTTTTTGTAGATTATATTTATACACATATCTTTGTATTTTTATATAAAGGCGTCACTATAATTATTGAACAAATTATATTTATATATTTTATTTTTGTTCCTTGAGTTCTGAATAGGACAAACTCTGCCTGGAGTTCCAGTAGCCATGGTGTTGTTTTTTCCTACAGCGTGGGGAGCAAAATCTCCTTCATCTTTTTCATGCCTACTACCTACTAGCTGCTAGTAAACTGCACAAGGTGTTGAGAGCGCGTCGGCTGGAATTGGAGCCGCGTGAGAGGCTGGCGAGAAGTCTACAACAGCTGAAATAACGACACACACACTTCTGTCCTAATTACTCCTTGCTAAAGTGATTAGTAGATTCTGTCAAGGGAAGGGGAAATTCTCATGTATCAAGATGAAAAAGGGCAAGCTGATTGCTGTCACTACTGCAGCTATTACTATCCACTTGTCCGATTAGGCTGAAGAAGTTAGTGTTGAGGGATTCAAACGATGGACTTATTACACCTGTACATCGACTATTTAAGAGACAATGAGCTGCTTTGACGACATTTACTAGTGACTGGTAAACTTACTTTGAAACTCTATTTGATCCTCGGTGTAAAAAAGCTTAGTTAGTGCCAATTTCACCATCTATGGGATCATCCATATCAGTACTAACTGCTGAAGCTGTTATGCAAAAACTAGAAACGATAGCTGGACCAATAATTAGGCTAAAATTCTGCATAAGGTATATTGATGACATATTTGTCATAAATACAAGAAATGATATAGCAGACATACACATACAGATTAATCCACAACGTGTTTGAAGAGAGGCAGGAAGAAGAATCAGATAATAAAAATTAGTCAAGAGAAGAAATATAGGAAATCTATGAAACACAGGTATGCAGGAAATCAACTCACAGAGATTAAACACTTCAATAAGACAGAATACAAAAGAAACTGTGTATAATAAACATTCACTTAGAAAAGTTAAAACGCATCCTTCAGTATTTCATTAACTGTGTGTTTCTGAAAAACGGATTCCCCTAGAAAATTATGATAAAATATATGGACTCGAATCAAACTGCCAACAGGAAACCAACCTCAGAAACCACTAGGAAATTCATCCCTACTGTATAAGCGAAGAATACTTCTAAACTAACGACTAGAATGCTAATGCTATTCAGAATAGATACTGCACACAAACCAAATTAATCACTTCATTTAGACCCCGTCGAGACTAAAAGACGCAACAACAAAAGAAGACAACATTAACACAATCATTTTCTTTTTTGATCTTAGCTTCATTCCACAACTTATTTTTTGGTACAAGTATTTTCAGCATGTGATATTGGTAACCCAATTTTGCAGGGCGACCATTGATATCGGGTGTGCGTCGACAGGGGATCAAACCCCGGACCATGTGCATGGTCGGCGAGAATCCCAACCGCTGTGCCACCGACGCACTACTAAATAAATTATATGAACAGCGGAAGCATTATACTGGTCATGGTTTAAATACTTCTTCGACTCCGAATTCAAGGAAAAAATTTAGCTGCGAAAAGACACGACATGCATACCTGCTACATATGAACGCATTCAGCCAACTATTGAGGACACCGATTTCATTATGCCAATGTGAAAATTTCAAAGAGTGGAAAAAAAACCATCAGGGAATTCCTAGAAGTCTCCAATACAAAAGAAATCGCCATCAAGAGACACGCTATTCCTTTCGATCAAATTAATCCACTGAAAAAGAATAACCAAAGTGACAAACCCTCACAGAATTTAAGTCAAGATACAATTGAACGATTCCTGGAGAATTCAACAGTGTGTGAATAGTGTTCAACTACTCATCTAAATCAATCAGTAGTACATAGTTTAGTTATCATTAGTTTATTTCGGTAATTCCTTTAACCATAAACTGTCGTATACAGTTGACAAGATCCATCGAAATACAATGACGTCGCTTAATCCTGTTCAATTAGTTCTCTTGCTTGATTGCCAATAATCATAACAGTGTACTCCAAATGACTTCCTAACTGCCTTGTTGTTTAAAGAAGAACGTCTGAAAGCCTTCACCCTATCCAAACCCATTGTGACCATGAGTAGGTGAATGCTTTGCCCAGCTTTTGTCTAGATTAGTGGGACGATGCGTCATTCTAGATCTAGCTAAATGTCTATATTCCGATAGAGTCTAATTTAACCAAATGTGCTAGTTTAAAGCATGCAATTGACCTCACACTCATTGTATGCTTTCTGGTCAATTGTACTTTTTTGGTCTTAATTCGATAGGTCTGCTACCTAAAAGGACAAATTTATCTCTGAATTAGTTGTGTCACCCTAACTCTAGTCAGCCCCTTCTACTTAGCTCGCTAGCTAGCTGGCTAGCTAACATAGATTGACACTATATATTTTTAAGTGTCCTAAAGTTAGAACATTGTATGCATGACTCATAGGTTAAGCATATTTCTAACAGCAGTTAATGTATATTTTGTTTTTATATTTCGTCATGCTCTACTCAGTCATAGTAAGATAGAAAGTGGCTGAAAAAGTCAAATCAACATTTAGGTGTATGATATGGGGCCTCGACTTCAATCAATCTACATTCAGAAAATGCGTAGGCGTATAAGCTAAGATGACTATCAACAGACAGTATAAGCAGACTTAAGAATGAGAAATATTCTCACGTCACATGAATTAATAAAAGGCCGTAATGAAGAGAAGGCATTCTGGTCAGTTATTTCATCCCCACCCCCACCCCGAACTCCACACCAGGTTCTTACAGTTAGAAAATATGTATTATTTACACCATTGAAATAACAGCCAGTGATTTGATGGACACATTTTTTGGACACAGAAAGGCAGATTACACCTGGGATGAGAAGTTGTATTGTATGACAAATATCTTGAGCGCATTGACACTACAAAATATTGTAAAGTGCCAGACTAGTTAGTCATAATAAATTCAAACAATGTGGGGAAGATGAATTGCCAGTCTAGTTTAAGGTGGTAAAATGTGTCAGGTGATGAATACTATCTGATACACAATGGAAGAATGCAGCGTTAGTCAGAAGACAGTAAGATTGCTTTGAGTAGTCGTCCATCATGAAATAGTTAAAATGTGGAGAACAAAGCGAATATAGTCATAGATGGCGAAAAGAGATAATTAAATAATTCCCATTGTAGCATTAAGAACACAATATTCAGCGAAGAGACTCTTTTCAACGAATTTATTATCCAGCTGTACAGTCGTATATATATATATATATCGTTTTGAAGAAATTATTATTTCCGGTGAGGAAATTACATCAAAGATGACAATAATAATATTAATAGTATGAAATGCACTTAAAATATTTGTGATCATAATCATAGTTAAGTGTCAAGTAGCAAAACAATCACTGTCATACATAGAATAATACATAAGGTGTATAGATGTTGGAAACGGGTGCATAATTATAGGATTAGTAGGCGAACATAAAATGTTACATAACATGGTGTGAAATTTGATAAGGTAGAATTCAATAGTGTAAAGATGAAAATAAAAATTAATAATTTTGGATTTAGAATAACGAGTGGGACAAGTGGAAACAATTCAGAGTGAGAATAATAATAATAACAGTAATAAAAATAATAATAATTGTAATAATAAGTTAAAGGTTCATAGAATAACTGAATAAACAAAATAAATAAATCTATGTATGTATGCGCTTACATAGACTCACACAATAGAGTCAGACAGAAAGAAGCACAGTTCCAAAATGTTAGCTTATAGTTAGGTCGAGTGAAAAATTCATCACAAACTGAAGACAGTAAGTACACTGTTCGAAATGTATACATCATGTTTTTCAGATTCATCACTCTGTCTTTTAGTTACGCTATGCAAATCTCTGTGTGTTGGATTGGTTAGTTTGCAATGTGGTGGGTGGGTGGGCAAGTGTTTATAAACCTGAACTTCTAGTGACCAGGATGTGCAGGCAACCGATGTATGGATGCAACTCGATCAATTTCGTATAAGAGAAGAAAATGTTAAAAAATGCGTACCTTTGGTTAACCTCTCGTCAGGCTTTACTTTACTATCACATATACAATTTCCTACAGCCGGTCCCCTTTATTAGTTTGAATAATTTAAGAACGAACATATTTACAGGATAATATGAGCTCGTTTTATTTCGTGGACTCTTCCGTCAACTGCTTGCATCCTACATGAACCAGTAAGTAATATATATATCTTACAAAATTGTATCTGCACATACTTTTTACAGCGATTTCCAGTGATAAATAGATAGAAAGGAAGTATAAGCAACATCATTTCAAAGATGATGTAAGGAGACAATTATTTAGTGTTAAATGTGTAACTATATATATACATGGTAATTTGACATAGGGGTGGAGTTGTGATTCATCTTGGATACAAGGATGAATTAGAGACAAAATACAAAATAGAACAGAACAACAGGGTGAATTTATACATATTATGGTGGAGAATTCAGGAGAGCGGTAGAGGTGGATAGAGTACCTAGACTATATGGACACTTACATGAACTTTCCCTTATTATTACTAGTATTATTACTATTATTGCTATTAGCATTACAGTTATTTCTCTCATTCTTCTTCTTCGTATCACTATTATCATTATTATTGTTGTTGTTGTTGTTATCAATGTGATCACATTGATCACCAGCTTTTGCATTGATTGTCATATGCCTGAGCTGTAATTCTATTTCCACAGTGACTTCTATTGTCTGTGATTAACAACTCTCCTTACTATGCTATGGTAAAGCCCAATGAGAAGTTACCCGAAGGTAAGCATTTGTTTGTATCCTCTTCTCGAACTACTCACGATGTGAATATTTTAGATTTTGGAACGACTTGAAGTATGTTGGACTCATTGTCAAGCTGGTTTTATTGTTGATGATAACCTACCT